CATCAAGAACATCAGACTCCCAATTATCTTTGCATATTTTTCTTGAGACACACTGGCCTCTATGTTCTTTGATAATTTGATGCTGGGATCATAGGGGGTTTTTGCTGGAGTTACATCATAAATCTCAAACCTCTTCAGGAGTTTCTCCGTGTAATGACTTTGGGATAAAAGGTAACCTTTCTCAGTTTTTGTAACCTTTATCCCGAGTATTACATCAGCCTCTCCTAGATCCTTCATATCAAACTTGTCACATAGAGTTCTTTTTGTCACTTTTATAGCTCCTATACTTGAGCTAAAGATAAGCATGTCATCTACATAGAGACAAATTATTACGATGCTAGACTCTACCTCTTTTGTGTATAAGCAGGCATCTGAGCGGTTAGTGGAATAACCTAGCTCTAACAAAGTTTTATGAAATTTTTCATACCACTGCTTAGGGGCTTGTTTCAAGCCATAAAGAGATCTTTTAAGTCTGCATACATTTCCTTCTTGTCCTGGATCAACACATCCGGGGGGTTGTTCCATATAGATCTCCTCTTCTAGTTCACCATTTAAAAATGCTGTTTTTACATCCATCTGATGTACTATCAACCTATGTAAAGATGCTAAAGCAAAAAGAACACGTATAGTAGCTATCTTTGATATTGGTGAATAGGTATAGAAGTAATCCTCACCGAATTTCTGTGTGAAACCTTTGGCTACCAGCCTGGCTTTAAATCTTTCAATTGAACCATCTGGTCTCAATTTCCTCTTGAAAATCCATTTACAGCCTACGGGTTTACAACCCTTGGGCAAATCCACTATTTCCCACGTGTGATTAGACTGTATGGAGTCTAACTCACTTTTGACTGCTTCTCTCCATAGAGTAGCGTCTACCGATCGCATGACTTCTTGAATGGATTTTGGTTCTTCTTCTAACACAAGTTGACATATAAAATGATCACACAGTTCATTTGAATCTTTCAATTCAGTCATATACGTTATGAAGTCAGAGCCAAAGTTTTTCTCAGTTCTAGGCCTTTTACTTCTTCTAGGCTCTTCTGAATTACATGAGAAATCAGGGAAAGATAGATTATGTTGAAATTTATTCGTATCTAGTTCAAGAGCACCCTTCAAGGGAAACACATGTTAAAAGAAAACTGCATCTCTAGATTCACATATTGTACGGTTTTCTAAACACATAAATCTGTAAGCTGCACTATTTTCACGACCAGGGATTGAGTCGTATGCTTTCGACCGGCAAAACAGAACAAACTCGCAGGCTATGTTGCATACACAGGCTCACAGAATTTTCGAAACCAGTAGCAGTACTCTCAGTACTGTTTCTTGCGTTTTTCCCTATTCTGATAGCTCATATAGCTCATATTTATACTACAGTACTCTCAGTACTATTTCTTGCGTTTTTCCCTATTCTGATAGCTCATATAGCTCATATTTATACTACAGTGTAGCAGAATATTCTGATAGCTCATATTTATACAGGGATTGAGTCGTATGCTTTCGACCGGCAAAACAGAACAAACTCGCAGGCTATGTTGCATACACAGGCTCACAGAATTTTCGAAACCAGTAGCAGTACTCTCAGTACTGTTTCTTGCGTTTTTCCCTATTCTGATAGCTCATATAGCTCATATTTATACTACAGTACTCTCAGTACTATTTCTCAGTACTATTTCTTGCGTTTTTCCCTATTCTGATAGCTCATATAGCTCATATTTATACTACAGTATTTCTTGCGTTTTTCCCTATTCTGATAGCTCATATAGCTCATATTTATACTACAGTGTAGCAGAATATTCTGATAGCTCATATTTATACTACAGTGTAGGAGAAGATTAGCATCACCCCACCTCTCACTTTCACATTTGTAGCGCTACAAAGATGGCATAGACAAACTCTGCACACTCCTTCATGGAGTTGTGCGGACAAGGTCATTATTGAGGGCAAAACGTGACCCCACCACACCGCATGCCGTGCCGGATGGGTGGCGACGGCGGCACGCGCGTGGTTTACCTCCTTTCCCTTCTCATAACACTTCAAACTAGTTTAAAAGCCTTGGAGTATATAAGCAAGGAAATAAGATGCTATTCTTCCAATGTGGGACAACATGGATAGGCTAAAAGAAGCCTTTCCCTTTAAATGCTCCCAACATTAATCATATAGAAAAATAAGCTTATTGATGAAAATACATATTTTTAGTTTGCCTCAAGCTTCCATGGGTGTGAAACTTGGGCTTTCTAGAATGCTTGAAATGGTTTCATGTTAACCGGTCCATTTGAGTCATATGCCCGGTATAAAAGAACCCCTTTCTAGGCATTTCCACTGCATTTTTGAATTGACGATAATACCCTTAAATTTAACACTCACTCAACAGAAAGACTAACCGAGGACTATTTGTGGTAAAAAATGAAAGTTGAGGGATGTGTTTTGGTCGAATTGAAAGACGTGGACTAAAAGGAGTACTATCCCAATAGTCAAAGGACCATTTGTGGTATTAACTCTTATTCAATTTACCACAAATTTATGTTTACAATATTTACCTAAACAAATATCTCTCTATCAGGGCTGTTCAATTAAAAATAGGGGCCCTGTCTAATAGTTTAATTTGGACCTTCATTGTTTTTGTTCCGAGATGCAATATAAATATAATGGAGTAAACTGCAAAGACAAAGACAATAAAAGGGGGACAAGAACATAGGGAGGGAGGGAGGGAGATTTTTTAAATATTTAAATTTTGCTATAATGATAGAGATTTCTATTTCTAAAGGCAAGAAACATAATCTCAAAAGACATCTGAAAGATGAAGATAGAAGTCAATAAGATCTACAAAATCTCTATAGCTGAGGTAATTGAGTTCAAATCCATTTGGACTTCAAGTTATTGTATTCTATGACAAAAATACAAATTAATTAAATTTTTCGTTCAAATATAATGTATAAAAATTTAACAAAGAAAGGAAACAATTCAAAAGTTAATTTAAAAGTGCCACTTTTTGTTTATATTTAAATATAAAATTATTCATCAAAATTTTGATGTCAATTCCTTCTAAAATTTTATTTTCAATTACAATTAAGACCAATCTATGAATTCAAAAAGAGTTAATTACCGAAATGGTCCCTTGACTATAGCGAAATTACAAATTTAGTCCTTGACTATTTTTTTTAACCAATTAAGTCCCTCAACTTTAAAAATCTTAACCAATTTGGTCCTCCGTTTGTTTGACCGTTAGTCAACCGTTAACTTGGGACCAAATTGTTAATTTCGCTATAGTCAAGGGACCATTTTGGTAATTAACTTTAGGGGTGGGCAATTCGGTTTAGTTTTCTCGAACCGTACCGAACTAGTTTAGTTCAGTAATATACCGAAAAATCGAACGATATTGGATTCTTGTATACCGAACGGTTCGATAAAAAAAATGATCTGAATTGTTCGGTAAAAAGGTGAACTGAACCGAATACCGTTTAATTTTTTTTAATATAATAATAATAATAATAATAATAATAATAATAAATAAATAAATAAATAAATAAATAAAAAGTAAATCCAAGTCCCTTGTTGCTTGCTCTGTCGTTCAGCTCATATTCTCACAGGTATCTCTCAGAAATGTTTTATTTGATTTCTTTACGGTTTGTTATCAAAAATTCTATATTATGTGTTATGGTGTTTACATAGTCCATATCCAAAGTCTAATATATAACAAAATAGTAATCCAAAGTTCAAACGGTATTCGGTTCAGTTCGGTTCAAGTTTTTACTGAACCGTTCGGTATACAATAATCTATTACAGTTCGGTTATTCGGTATATTACCAAATCTAACTAGTTTGGTACGGTTCGATTCGAAAAAACTGAACCGAATTGCCCACCCTTAAAGTTAATTACCAAAATGGTTCCTTGACTATAGCGAATTACCAATTTGGTCCCAAGTTAACGGTCAAACAAACGGAGGACCAAATTGGTTAAGATTTTTAAAGTTGAGGGACTTAATTGGTCAAAAAAAAAAAAATAGTCAAGGACCAAATTGGTAATTTCACTATAGTCAAGGAACCATTTCGGTAATTAACTCATTTAAAAAAAGTAATAATAATAAAGTATAAAAAATAATAGCATTCAAAAAAAAAAAGTATAAAAAATAATAAATTATATCTATTTTTTGAAAGGATAATAAATTATATCTAATAAAATATTTATAAAAAAAAAAACAAAAACAAAAAAACAAAACAAAACAAAACTGGCCCCCAAAAATTGGGGGCCTTGTACGCCATGGTCAGGACCGGCCCTGCTCTCTATTATAAATACACATTGATAAAATATACGGAGTAATATAGATCCTATGATTTCTGTTATTTATTTATTATTATTTTAAAATTATTTTAATATAATTATAATTCTACTATTGTGCAGTTGTGCACTCACTACCCTCGTAAAGTGTCCGTATACATGCTAGTTTAACGAGTTGTTATACGATGGACCGGGTCCACCTTGCAAGGTGGATCCTCGTCCTAAATGACGTATAAATTATGTATTTTTAATATTTGAATTGTGACATTCTAGAATATAAATTGTGTTTTTAAGTCAAAACACATAACAAGTGTAGAAGAGAATTTGTGAATACAATACATTGTCATCAAATCATAATATGTTAATATTGTGTGATTACAATATTTGAAAGGAACTTGTGAATACATAACAAGGTAATCAATTGCATAAATGTTAATATTATGTATTCGTAGTATACAAATTGTGAATTTTTAAATGGTAAATTGTGAACATTTAGTAGGTAAATTGTGACCATTTGGACCCGGTTCCACCTTTCAATGTGATCCCGTGTCCACAGAATAATTTGCGTAGTTTAACCAGTGTTGAAAAGATTCCACCTAAGCACCGATTAATCGGTGCCTAGGCTCTAGGCGCTAGGCGCTGGCTGGTCGCCTAGCGTATCACCATAATCGGTGGTCTAGGCAGCCTAAGCGCTGACCGCTTAGGCGTACTAGGCTCCGACTAGGCCTCCTAAGCACTGATTAAGCCGTCTAGGCACCGACTAGGTCACCTAGTCGGTCGATTAGCTATTGATCCCTTTGTTTTTTAAATGGGTTATTTCACTCAAAACGACATCGTTTTGAGCGAAATAACCCTAAATCGGTCAAACTCTAGAAGTTTTTAGGTTAATATTTAATATTTTAGTATTAACTATTAAAGTATTAAATAACTTATAATTATCAAGTCTGGGAAGGGTCCAGGTGCGGGAGGGGGCTTCCCGTGCGGTTGTGCGGTTGGACGCACACTAAGCATTAAAGTGACGCACTTTAAGTACACAATTACACGCACATTAAGCACACAAACAAAACACCTTCAGAACACAAACCCACGCACCTTAAGCACAAAACTCACGCATCTTAACCACAACTCTCACGCACCTTAAGCACAAAACTCACGCACTTTAAGCACAAAAGACATGCATCTTAAGTTTCAACAACTACTCACCTTAAGCACAAGACTCACGCGCCTTAAGCACAAGACTCACGTACCTTAAGTACAAAACTCACGCACCTTAAGCACAAAACTCATGCACCTTAAGTTTCAACAACTACTCACATTAAGTACACACCAACGCATATTGAGTACAAAACCCATGCACCTTAAGCACAAGCCTCACGTATCTTAAGTACAAAACTCACGCACATTACTCACTGCACAACCATACAGGAAACCTTCACCCGCACTGGAACTTAATTCATCAAGTCTTTTAAAACTCTAAAAAAATTTAAAAATTAAAAAAATCCACGCTGATTAATCGTTGTCTAGATACCCCGAGCGCTTAGCATTTTTTAGACCATGAGTTTAACTAATAAGTGCAATGCAATTAAAATGGTCTTATATATCCAACTATCTATAAAGATAGAGTGATAGTTTTCATCCTTAATATTTATACTATTTTTCCATTCCAATTGTTTGTACATTATACTTTATTAATGTACTTTTAATTTTATGGACACATATCCTCGTATCCCGTCAACACCCCAATTAAGTTTGTTTAATCTTTTATTTATTTATTTTAATGGTTGTAGGTCTAGTTATTGTAATTAAAATTAAAGAGATAAAAAATTACGATATAATTTTTTTAAAAAAGTATATGCATGCTCTATGTTTTGTGATAAATGTCTTATTAATTTTAAAATTTAAAACTTTTCTATCAAATATTATTAAATATGATGCTTTTAATGAACCAGGTCCACCCTAAAATCAGAGATAAAAATAAGGCTTATACTAATTGTACACTAGGCTCTTAAAATAAGAGCAAATATTAAATCTAATCCCACAAGTATTAGTAAAATGACAGTTTTGGTCCACATGTTTAATTAGTATCAATTTTTATCCATGACTATTGTTTTCGTGTCAAAATTGATCATACTAGTTATCTCTCAGCTAAAACATTTTAGAATGTTTACTTTGTAAGTATATTTTTGCCCATTCATACATTAATGAAATTAGCCTATATACATGAATGAACAAAAATATCCTTATAAATTACACAATTCGACATGTTTTAGCCGGAGGGATAACCGGTGCAATCAATTTTGGCACAAAAATAATAGTAATGGGTAAAAAATGATAATAGTTAAACATATGAACTAAAACTGCTATTTTGTTAATACTTGTGGGACCAAAAGTGATATTTGCTCCTTAAAATAATATTCACAAGATGGGGGAGCGCTATGCTATGGACCCGTGTCCACCATGTGCATGGTGGACACGTTGTACATTCATAATTTCTATACTGTAGATCCATAATTTCTATATTGTAGATTCATAAAATTTATAATGTAGAATCATAATTTCTATACTGCACATTCATAATTTCTGTACTGTAGATTCATAATTTCTATACTGTAGATTCATAAAATTTATATTATAGATTCATACAGTACAGAAATTATGAATGTGTAGTATAGAAATTATGAATCTACAATATAGATTTTATAAATCTACAGTATAAAAATTATGAATTTACAATTTAGAAATTATGAATCTACAGTATAGAAATTATGAATGTACAGTATAGAAATTATGTCCACCATGCACATAGTGGACACGGGTCCATAACATAATTTGCGCAAGATGGGTCCCTAATAAATAAAGAGATAAACGTATGGCCCAAAACCCAAAGGATCAAATAGCCTGCTAACCCACTGTTAGTCAAAGCCCACTAGACTTGAGGAGAGAGAGAGGATAGCAATATATCTACTCATTATATCGTGGACCGCGGTGCATAATCAATTATGCACCGTGTATCAAAACATCGTCGTTTTTTTAAGTAAAGAAACGGCGCACTGTTAGTGTTAACGGAGTGACATTACAATGTATCTAAACCGACATGGCCTCACGTATTATTTTTATATTATCAAATGAAACTGCAGTTATATCAAAATGATACTGTAGTATGATACTGCAGTTGTGGTGAAATGAAACTGCAGTATATATAAAATGAAACTGAATAACATTTCACATATTTTAGTGTATATTGTACAATGAAGCTGTAATTATATCAAAATGATCATATAGTTGTGTTTTAATGAAACTATAGTGTATATAAAATAAAATTAAATAACATTTTCATATATTTGAGTGTATAAATATTGAATGAAACTGTAGTTATATCGAAATGAAATTGTAGTTGTGTTGAATTGAAACTGTAGTGTATACAAAATGAAACTGAAGAACAGAGTTATTTTTTGCGGAACGACGCGAAACAGATTCCGTTTCTTTTCATTAAATAAAACGACGTCATTTTCCGCTTCTTCTTCGCACAAGACCACAGACTACCAATGCCTCCTTCTTCGCATAAAGACTATAGAGACCACCAATGCCTTCTTCCCGACATTCACCAACTTCTCGCCCCACCGGAAACCATTTCCGGATGTGGGTCTCGACCACATAAACGTAATGGTTTCCGACTTGGAAAACCAGAAATTCTTGTTTTCCAAGCCAGAAACAAATCTGCACGGAAACCAAACCAGTGCTCTGGTTGGTTTTCGGCGATTGATTTTCCTTTCTGGAAACCAAACAGTCCAATTTTTTTTTTAAATTTTTTTTAATAAATTTATTGTTTGTTTTTATTAAAATAGATTTGAAGATTTTACATACCCTCCTAGGCAAGCTAAATCTCTCTTATTATAACCATCAAAATGATGAAGTATACAATTTTGCTCATTTTCTAAAAAAAGAACCAAACACACAAAAACAATTTTCTATTTTGCAGCTAAACACTGGAAAGAAAAATAGTTTCCGAAAAATAAGTCATCATTTTCCAAAAAAACATTTTTCAAAAGTCATTTTCCTACTTTTCAAACGCACCCTTAATTTGGGGGAACGGAGCACGAAGAATGTGGATGGAAACTCTCTCTAGCCAACGATCGGAAGAAGATCGGGATCTCCTTGAACGGAGCACGAAGAAGCAGAAAGGATCGAGCGGAAGACCCTTAGGACAATCAGCGAGCCCAACGATGGAGAGGACGTTGCATGCGGACGTTGAAATCGTTAATGAGACCCCGGTGGAGGAGATGGTGCAAGCAGATGCCGGAATTGCGCCGGATGGACATGTCCACACAACGCCGTCAGTACAGGCTATCCCACCACCCCGCCGGACGTATGCCCAGAGCGTGTCTGGCCAGATCGTGCCTTCTTTCCAGCGCCCCGGCGATGTGGAGGAGACGGATCCGATGGAATCTTTCGACGAGCAGGATGATGATCCCTTGTGCCCCACCATTCGTCTGACACAGGAGGAACTGGAGGCGATCCGGGCGCCTTGGAGGAAAACTCTGATCATCAAGGTCATGGGCCGGCGCGTTGGATATGCGTATTTGTTGAGAAGGCTCCAGACGATGTGGAGACCAAAGGCGAACATGGATCTTATCGCCATCGATAACGATTACTTTCTTGTCCGATTTGGAGCGGTGGAGGACCTGGAATTCGCGATGTTTGAGGGGCCTTGGATGATCATGGATCATTACCTCATAGTCCAGCCATGGAAGCCAGATTTCGACCCCTTTGCGGACAACACGGAGAAGGTGCTCGTGTGGGCACGGATTGCCTGTTTACCTGCTGAGTACTTTAATATCATCTTCCTTCGGAAATTGGGAAACAAGGTCGGACGATCGATCCGCGTTGATCAGGCCACGAGCCTAGTGTCACGAGGCATGTTTGCCCGAATCTGTGTGGAGGTCGACATAACAAAGCCGCTAATATCCAAGTTCAATTACAAAGGTCAGGTTCGATCTGTGGCATACGAAGGTATCCACATGGTGTGTTTTACATGTGGAATATATGGCCATGCCGCTGAGGCATGCCCAACGCTGCACAAGCCGGAGCAACCCCCTGCGGGAAACCAGGAGGGCGAGCCAATGGGTGGAAGCACGGCCGCGAACCAAGCTGAACAGAGTCGCCCGGGTGTCCAGGTTGGGACTGCGCCATTCGGAGCGTGGATGATAGCTCCTGGCCGACGACCACGGGGCAAAGCAAAGCTGCTGGATAAAGCCCAGAAGACGTCAACTGGTCGAGAACAAGAGCCCAGAGCAAAGCACGATGGACAGCCCCAGGCATCTCGTTTTGCGCCGCTTGTTTTGCAGGATGACGTTGGCGATCAGAATGAGGTGGACCATGTGGAGGAGGCAGTGGAGGATACTGGTGGGGATGATAGCGTAGTACCTGTGGATGAAGCGGGAAGGACGTCTGTGGGTGAGGGCATGGCAGCGCGCCGTGGGAAACAAGTGTAGGCAACAGGAAAAGACAAGCAGCGTAGGCCTAATGTGATTGCAAGGGAAAAACAAATCGTGAATGCTCCGGTAACACTTCGTCGCCAAACACCTAGTGTGGCAGCGCCATCGGTCAGTGTGCAGAGGAGTAACGGGGGAAGCTCGAGGCGAGCAGCGGAGGCACCCCACCATGTCGTTGTACGTGGAGAACAAGGTGGTCTGGTCATCAGTTCTCAACGGGTGTTCAATGGTGAGACAAGCGGCGACATCCCATCTCCCGTTTGGCAACCCACAGGAGAACATCACGATGACCCTCCGGACTGTCTCGATGACGAGGGAGATATTGTAATGGACCGCGAGGAGGTCCCGGGGCAGGGTGGCGCGCAGGGTGCTGAGGACGCTGTTTGAGCACCTCTCTCTGTGCTGGTTTTGTTTTGTTCATCTACTTTGCTGCCTCTCTGTGGTTTTCCAGCTCTTCCCTTGTTTTTGTTGTTTTAATAAATTGTTTCTTTTGGAATTGCCAAGGGGCCGGAGGCAAACGGTTCCTCCGAGCCTTAAAAAATTTTCTCCAGGTACACAAGCCGTGCATCCTGGGCCTATTTGAACCAAAAGTGTCGGGCACTAAGGCAGATTCGATCTGCAAGCAGTTGGGCTTCTCTGACTGGGTCCGAGTGGAGGCTGTGGGCTTCAGTGGGGGAATATGGGTCTTTTGGAAGGACCCGGTGCACTTAGCAATTCTCTCTACTCACCCCCAGTTCATTTTATTGCAGGTTAGGGGGCGGGATCAACTGACATGGACCCTTGCAGTGGTCTATGGAAGTCCAGCCCACCATCTTCGTCGCAGGCTGTGGCGGGATCTGAGACAGTCAGCTCAGAACTTTACGGGGCCCTGGCTAGTAGCTGGGGATTTTAATTCGATTCTTTTTCATGAAGAGACACGTAATTATGTTTCCTCGTCTCCTCTCCGAAATTCTGATTTTGTTAATTGGGTGCACGACGAAGGGCTCATTGACTTGGGATTCTCGGGACCCAGCCTGACATGGGTTAAGGACAGAGACTCCGGATACACGAAGGGCGCCCGGCTTGATCGGGCGCTTTGCAATACCGAGTGGCGCACAAGTTTTAAAGATGCTCGGGTTTCCCATTTAGCCCGCGTGGAATCGGACCACGCCCACCTGTTGGTAGAACTGGAAGGTGGGCATCACACGTTACGAGCGGCTCCATTCATGTTCCAGGCGGCGTGGCTTACCCACGCTAATTTCCAAGAGGTTGTTGAGCAGAACTGGAGGCCAGAAGCTGCCATCACGGATAACACCAATGGCCTGGCTTCTATCCTGGCCGATTGGAACAAGGCGACCTTTGGCAACGTCTTTAAACGGAAAAGAGTTCTTTTGTTAAGGATCAGTGGGGTCCAGCGAGCCCTATCCACGAATTACCACTGGGGGCTCATTAAGCTAGAAAGGAAACTAAGAGAGGACCTAGAAGCCGTTCTTCACCAAGAAGAAATTCTGTGGTACCAGCGCTCCAGAGAAGAGTGGATACGCTCCGGGGACAGGAATACGGCTTACTACCATGCGGCCACTGCAGTCCGCAAATCCCGGAGCACCATAGTATCTTTAAGGGACGAGAATAACACCTGGCTAACGTGTGATAATGGCCTTCGGGACCATATCCAATCTTTTTACATTAAGCTTTTTTCACAGGAGGATACCGCAGGCCACCGGGATCACCTCGGAACAAGTTTTCCCGCACTCCGGGACATCAACTGGCTGTGTTTCAACAGACCGATATCAAAGGAAGAAGTGCACGCCGCCCTTACGGACATGAAGCCTTTTAAAGCACCGGGACCAGATGGTTTCCAAGCAGGTTTTTACCAAAACACGTGGACCACGATGGGTACTAGTCTGTTCAAGTTAGTGGAGGAGGCGGTCAGATCAGGTTTACTCCCGGAGGGTCTCAACGAAACACTCATTGCCCTTATCCCGAAAGTCGCCGCCCCAGAAACAATCAGGCAGTTCCGGCCCATCAGTTTGTGTAACGTTAGTTACAAGCTCATCACAAAGACTATCACCAACAGGCTCAAGTTCATCCTTCCCAAAATCGTGGGGCCCCACCAAAGCTCCTTTGTCCCGGGGAGGCAGATTACTGACAATGTGTTAATTTTTCAGGAGGTGATGCACTCCATGCGAGAAAAGAAAGGGGATACAGGATACATGGCCATTAAGCTGGATTTGGAAAAAGCCTATGACCGGCTGTCCTGGGAGTTCATCCAGGAAACGCTTGACTTAGCCGGCTTCAACATGAGATGGAGAACACTCATGATGACATGTATTCGTACTCCCACTTTGTCTATAATCTGGAATGGCGAGAGGCTACGTCCTTTTAGACCGGAACGGGGAATTAGACAAGGAGATGCCATGTCACCGGCGATCTTTGTCCTTTGTATGGAGCGACTAAGCCAACTAATTGCGGCCGCGGTGAACGATAACAGGTGGAAAGGCGTTAAGCTCGCAGTTTCTGGACCCGTGCTAACCCACCTTTGTTTTGCAGATGATATGGTTTTATTCACGGAAGCCACGCTGGAACAAGTCGAAGTGATCCAGGAATGTTTGGACAGGTTTTGCAAAGCATCCGGCCAACGGATTAGTCTGAGCAAGTCTCAAGTTTTTTTCTCCAAGAACACGAGTCAGGGTCTTAAGGAGGCTATAGCTAGCCGACTCAACATAGAAGCGACGGATAACCTCGGCAAATATCTAGGCGTACCTTCCATCCATGGACGAGTTACACACAACACTTTTGCGGATCTCCTTTCTAGGATTTCTGGCAGGTTAGAGGGATGGAAAGCCAAGACCCTTTCGATGGCCGGGAGGGTTGTTCTGGCCAGGTCAGTGTTAAATGCCATACCCGCGTACACCATGCAAACTGTTGCACTACCTAAAAGCGTATGTGAGGAAATTGAGAAGCGAACCCGGGGCTTTATTTGGGGAAGGAATGGCGCACGAGTTTTAGCCACGAAGTACTATAAGTCGGGGACGAATTGTGCAGGGCCTTCTACCATGCGCTCGATGTCAAATGCTTGGCACGGAATAACAGCTACCCAAGCCCATGTCGAGAAGGGTATCAAGCGGAACGTACATAGCGGCACTACCACCAGATTCTGGATGGACAAATGGTTGGATCGGGAGCCTCTATATGGGTGCATGCAAGGGCCTCTCAGCCTCCCCGAACTGTATGCCAACGTAAGAGATCTTTGGGATGATGTTCGCGGTTGGAAGTGGGAGATCATTGGGCAGGCCCTTCCTACGGCAATGATGGAGAGATTGGCAAGCGTCATCCTAACCGACACAGAGATGGAGGATGGTATAGGCTGGGCATTGGAGGATGATGGCAGGTTCTCGCTTAAA